ACGTCACACAGCTGTTTCCATCATTTTCACTGCCGTCCCTCTGGGGTGAACAACAGAGACAAAAAGCGCAACGAGCTGTAAACATAAGAGAACAACAAAGCGAAGAAAATCGCCGCCACGGGTCAACAGCAAAACAACACACCTGAAAAAAAAAAGAGGGATTGAGAGAAAAAAAAGCGAAAACAAAAAGGGATTTGACTCCTTGAGTCATTTGACAGTGCCATCTGCCATCCGTGTTATCCAACAGCTCCGCCACGGCTAGCAATGCCCCATCAACAATCCATCGAATGTCGCCCACGTTCCTCATGCACCTTCATGCTTTTACATTTACTGCAGGCCAGCAAGAGGGTGATTGCACTGCCTGCATCCAAATGTTTCAGAACCAGCTTGGAGCAGCTGACTCAGCTAGCGCCCACGTGAAAACCACTCTTAACTTTTAAAGTTTAAAAAGAAGTGGGCCGCCACGGCTACACCCCCGGCGCGCAGCGCAGGCTAGTGGAAAAGAGCTGAAATAAGCGTGTGGAGATTGTTGAGAAGAGAGTTCATGACAGTACTGGAACCCGAACATCAGATATGAGCATGTCTCTCTGTCTCTCTCTCTCTTGGTACCATGTGGCCCCAGTGAGTTGGGCGGTACTACATGGGGGTTGTAGTATGTGGCCTGAATGCCACTGTGGACTGGTGCAGCAAGGGGCAGGTGGGCCATTTATGTGGACCCGATGGCACTGTGGCTCACCAGCAAATTAGGGGTAGGTCAGCTATGCTATGTGAGGTGGGTGGTACAGACAATCCAAAAAACAAAAAGCAGGAAACACAAAAAAATCAAGCCCACGAAAGGCCCTAAGCTATAACATCTGACACTCACAGTTCGAACTCACAACCTGGCTAGTAGTTTTTTCTGATGTTGACATGAGCACCATTCGTTGACAGGGCCCAGGTATGTGTTTGTATATGAACAACACTTGACCCTCCGTTCGGATGCAACCGCAACGCGAAACTGTGGACAACAGCGAGGCGAGCAAACAACACACCAGACGAGCAACCAACACTATGGTGCCAAAACCCGAGAGAAACATGCCAGCAAAAGGACAAAAAAGGGGAAAAAAAAGGAAGAAAATGAAAGAAAGAAAAGGAAGGGGGGCGTGGGGGGCAGGGGGGAACAGGACAGGGTCTCACTCCACTGCACAACACTCTAAGGGCCTCTCTCCACTACTCACCAATTGTGCAAAATGAGAATGCATCTTCCGCTAGGACATGGAAAAATACACCGCCATACTTTTCGTCTTTGTGCATGTGGTAAGTGGTGGAACAAGGCCCTAAATGTATTTGAAGGCGGGCAACGGTCACACTATGTTCGAAGTGATCGATCAGAAAGGGATAGGGGTCTTCGACAACACTCTAAATGTATTTGTAACCTGTGATAGTCCTTATACATTCAAAGGGTTCGATCAGTCCGGATGTCTCTGGTGCAAAAATCAGTCCGTATACATGTAGAATGCTGAGTAGTGGAGTGAGGCCCATAGGAATGGCACTGTCGACCTTTGTGAGGCTGCGGAACGACACGTAGCCAAAGCTGAGGTGTGCCAGCAAAGACCTATCCAGAAGACGACAAAAATGAAAGGAATATAGAAAAACGGTTAAAACTTAAAAACCAGAAAAAAAAGAAAAGAGGGAATAGCGCTATTCCAGTTTGGGTAATGGTCTCAATATGTTCGTCAAATGGCTCCGGCCCTGATTTGAGTCACATGCATTTGACAGAGTGGCTCGATGTCCATACGCCCTGAGTCGCAATCGGACCACTATGTACTTGTATCTGAATATGCCTGCAGTGACAATCCCACCACCACTGAATTTCCGCGAGGAACACCAGATGCATGAACGAAACTGAATCACCGCGTGAGCACACCGAACTGAACCGAACCAAACCAAACCAAAAGAATCTGCCAATCGTCCCCCCAAAAAGCCGGCTCTGTGGTTGCAAGCGGGACAGTGTCCCCCGGGAACCTCTCGCGTGCCAGCGGTTTTTGCTGCGCCCGGAGGGGGCGTCTGCTGAGGACCGCTCCCGCTTTAGGAGGTATATAGATATTTTGTAGCCTTGTAGGGCATGCGACCACAGTTACAGCCACATTGAGTTGCGAAGTCCTAGACTGGGTATTCCCTGGGGCACTTTAGTTTTGCTAGAAGCTACATCTGTATGTGTGTGCTGTTGTGTTGACATAAGAGCATTCCAGGAAAGAAACACGACTGCCACAAACAGTTCTATCCGGCTTTTGCTGACTCATTGCTAATTGAACCTCGACACTCAGTCCCGGAATCATTCCACTAATGAAGGACTCTGGAGCCCCTTTCCCAGATAAGCAACATCCTTGAGAGAAGCGGTCACCTTCCTGTTACATATCTGTTCGAAAAATGGTACGTCTTAGAGCCAACTGGTGTTTCCAGCCGCCAACTACAGTTCCGCAGTTCAGCAAGCAAAACACAACAACTGAAAAATCATTGTGCCTCTTAGCCCAAGTGGTTCATAGGAGAAACTAGATACCATAGTAGAAACTAGATACCTAGTAAATATTACATACCCATAGCTACTGTCCGTCGATAGGTCCTGAACTCAGACTTCAAACAAACATGACATTGCTGGAAGACGATCCCGACAGAGATCCCCACTTTCCTTTCTTAGGAGGTGCCAAAAGCACAAACACAGGACAAAAGAAAAGGAAATCAGTACACAGTCCACATTCCGAAACACTGAAATGCACCAAAAAGTGGCAAAAACAGTGACCACACAAAGGGATGAACAGGCAGTGGCGCTCTGCTAACATTCTCAACACGTACATGTATCTTTGCTGAGAGAGATGCCTACGTGGCACATGTTCAGCCATAATGAGCACATCTGCAGTCCAATTGTATGCATACATGTGGTCAGGCCACGCGCCGATGGACCACTTCGGAACAAACAGGTTAGAAAAGGCCAGCACTAGCTGGAAACGGAAGCACCATAATGTGCTGTATGCGTGGCCTCCGAACCAAGATGTGCCTGCTCTTCCCCAGTGCCAGAGCTTATCATTGTTCCTCATATGCAGTACACTGCTTGATTCACTCCAACTATGAACTTGGAGGCAGGAGCATGCCAATGCAATTTAGCAGACCGCATCGGCGAAATCCCCCCTTCTTCAAGTGGATTTGGGATGAGGGGGAAGAGAGCCTACAACGGTGTGAGAAGGAACAAGTCAATTAATCCACAGCATCATCAGACAAGAGGCTAGTGGTAGCGTCGAACGACATTCAATTGCACTGGTACCAGCAAGCAAGCCTGACGTTATTGCCACCCACCATGCTGTCCTATCATGAAATGAACGACATCCCTATCATTTAGTTGGCAGTTCGACGAAATGCCCTAAAAGGGCAAGATGCAAAACAGTTGCTAGGGAAATGAAATGAACTCTGTGTCCATGCAGGAGGAAGCTGTTGCCTTGTTTGTATTTTCTGAGAGTCAGATATCTCTCTTTCTCTTAACGGGTGACCGCCTTGGAGATATCATCATTGAACTGACCGTCCCCAGGTAATTCAGAAAGGTTTGTTCCGGTCATCTGATTGCATCCGGATTTGAACTTGGGTCTGTATTTTGACAGTTCACGCATGAGCTAGCCCCAGTGGACCGGTTGAGAGTTTCAGGAAGAAGATGGAAAGCACCAAAAGAAACCGAAAACAAAAAGAAGGAAAGGACCATTTCAGTCAGTGAAGGAAGGGGAAAGGAGAACAAGTTGCTGTATTTGATAAGGATAGTGGCAAGAAGGGGGAAGCAGGGGCAGATGTGAGAGTATTGGAATCAGCTAGTGGTCAGAGAAGCAGTCACATATGTGAGAGCGTGGAATCAGCTTGTGGTACTGTTTGCAGGCTGCGCTCTTGGCTCAGGGTATATGCAGGCCGAGGCATCCAACGGAATCAGCCAGTGATCACAATCAGATACATCTTGAAAAGCCCTCCCGTAGTACCGTGAATATCCGCTCAGTTATCCGGCAGGGTTCATTACACCTGCTCTTAAATGCAACAGTGTTCCCTCTCACTGAATGAGCTGCCACCTGAGGCTCATGTGTCTGCAGGGAAAGCCAATCGGGACCCTGAAGATCACTGGCGGTCATCAACCCTCGACCAGTGATCCTAATCAGATGTTCTGCACCATTATTATAGACTAATATCACCTTATGCAAGTTCTAACAGTCTGATAAGACCACACACATAGGTTGATTTGATGTGATCATGCGACCAAAGTTCATCAAGCACTCGTTCAAGGAAGACCATGCATGACGACCGTGAATCGAGGCACGTCAGTCGACTCAAATCTAAATGAAGCACATTGACTCAATCCATGCAAGTTCTAACAGTCTAATAAGACCACACTCTCACATAGGTTGATTTGATGTGATCATGCGACCAAAGTTCATCAAACACTCGTTCAAGGAAGACCATGCATGAAGACCGTGAATCGAGGTGGGCCAAACTCAATGGGGTCACCCCAGTATAAACCTCATATTGTGTATGCAAAGGACGAACAGAATCCATAGCGTCAAAATGGGGTGACAGAAAAGGCCAGCAAAACCATAAATCTATCAGATGAATTTAGGGGTAGTGGCAAGGAGAGGAGGAGACTATGTATGGAAATCAGAGGAATACAAAGAAAGACGAGGTGCACGAGGAGGGAGNACTATGTATGGAAATCAGAGGAATACAAAGAAAGACGAGGTGCACGAGGAGGGAGTTAAGGAACATAGAAGCAACAGAGCCCCAGTGATCCTGGAAGAGGTAGAGAAAGAGGGAGATGGAAACAAGATGCTGAGGAGGAGGGAGAAGGAAACAAGATGCTGAGGAGGAGGGAGATGAGGAGTCCGCAGAGGAAGAGGACAAGGAACATGCACAAACCTGTGTCTGGTAGGGAACAGAAACCTCCTGTGCGGGAAGTGAGGGCTGGGGAAGAGGGGTAAATGCAGGTGTTGGTTGCTCACCTCACGAGGTAGGGTGACCATTATTCTCGCTGATCTATGCTTCTCACGAGGCCCCAAGAGCCGCTGAGTATTGAGCTCAAGCTGTTCATGGCCCATGTTGATACACACTCCCCATCTGCCATGTCTGCTCGAGTGGACGGGAGCCACAGTATGAATTGGCTGCAGAGGAGATGACACTTGGGGCGGCAATGGCGATGGTAATGGTGATGCTGGTGGTGATTGCAACAGTGATGGGGACGAGGATGGCAAGGTTGAAAATGACTTGCAAAAGGGCTTCATGGCTGGGGATTGTCCGTCTCCTTGTTCTGAATGGGCAGATGACATCTGATGGACACCCGTTCCTCCATAGGCAATCACACCTGACAATATCTGCATGACTCCTCTAATGTGTGCTAGCACATGTGCTTCCAGATGTCCCAAACTTGAAAATCCCCGTGATACCAGCCGATCTTGAACTTTCCGTATATCAGTATTGCGCACACTGAAATAGTGGATAAGATTCTTCGCACTGCTCTTGTATTGACTGCCAATTATGAAAGGATGACGTTCATTTCATTGAAACACACACACACACACACACACACACACACACACACACCATGCGTACACACAGCACACACATGCACACACACAACACATGCACAAATGTATATAACA